CAAAGTGCGACCATGGGAGGCTTGTTTTGGATTAGAATTAGATTGGGAAAAGCTGTGGCGGGACCAGGTGTTCGGGGCCAAGATGACCGAGACAAATGGAAACAAACTTGTTTTTTTCTAGGGATTCAGAGGCAGCGTTTGGCACCCAAAGTGCGACCATGGGAGCGGGTTTTGGACCAGAATTAGATTGGGAAAAGCTGTGGCGGGACCAGGTGTCCGAAGCCAAGATGACCGAGACAAATAGAAACAAACTTGTTTTTTTCTAGGGATTCAGAGGCAGCGTTTGGTACCCAAAGTGCGACCATGGGAGGCTCGTTTTGGATGTTCGGGGTGAAGATGACCGAGACAAAGGGAAACGATGGGAGCAATGAACCATGTGGTGATGATTCAAAAACTACATCTATTGCTGAGGGTGATGGGACATTGGACGCATTGGATGCTGGCGACCTTGAACACGAAGTTCCATCGGAGGCAGCACATCATTGCGCATCTACTATCCAATGCCAATCCAGTTCTTATTTGCAGATTCATTAAGGTTCAGCAAAACACACTCAAAACAGTCCAGCTTTGTTTTTTATGTTTTTGTGAGGACCTTGTCAGTGAGCCCACACTATTGCCTGATGCTTCACCCAATGATCCAGCTTTGCCTCGGGATGCCTCTAAGCTGAGCTGGTTTGCTTGCAAACACTGTGCATTCCACCCATACTCCAAACAGTTTCTCTGCCTATGATTTCCCAGGCTGGCCCAAGCGAACGCGAAGAGCAGTCTGAAGCTGGCAGGAGTTCTTTGCCTACTGCAAAAGCAAAGTCAAGGCCAAAAAGCAAACCAAAAGCTAAGGCAAAGGCAAAGGTCAACCAGCCAAAGAAGAGGGCCCAGGAACCAAAAGGAAAGGCCCAGGCAAAAAAGAAGTCAGCCAAGAGGGCAAGGAGCAAGGACGATGTGCAGAAGCGGATGCATTCAGCGACTCGCTTGAAACACTTGCTTCTGTTTCAGTCCCTTTTGTTGAAAACTCTATTTTGATCTGCCGCTAAGATCTACAGTGTGGCGTGTAGACCCACTAAAACCCATTGGATGAGGATCCAACTGGGTAGCACCAATGCGCAAAGAACTATACATGCTGGTACAGGGATTCTGCAGGGGCCCCTGAACCGGTCTCGGAATTTCTGTCGTAGTCACCTGAACCATAGCTTTTTGGCGAGTGCAAGCTGCAGTTGAGTCCCGGGGTCGGCGGCAGGGGCGGCAGCCCTTAAATAATCTATATAAATAAGAATGAATGCATCAAAAATAATTCCAAAATACGGTATAGCGGGTTCAAACTCCTCACTCACCTAGGGTTTTTTGAACAGAATTGGTTTGATGGCAGGCCGGCACACCTGAGTAAGACTCAGCACGCCCTGCTCTTCTGGCTTCCAAACCTCAGTCTTGCATGTGTCGTGAAGGCCTCCACAATAATGGTCTGACTCAATCTGATTCATGAGAAAGCCAAGTCGTCCTCCAAACGTTCAAGTACAGGGAGAATACTTCGACTTTGGTTGGTACAGTACCAGTCCCTTCTCCAAAGAATTTACGGGATCTGGTAAGCATAATGCTTTTTTGAAGGAGCCTGATAGTGCCAAAGCTTGGACTGCTCACAACGCTTCAAGCCATCCGGAAGGGAAATCTCCAACCCTTTTTGGTATTGGAAGAGCAAACCAAAATGGTGAGGTACGGACAAACTGCATGCTCTCAAGGTGATAGTAGTACACCTGTCCGACAGGCGAACAACATTGTAGCGTTGCTCGAAAGAAGAACGTTGATGCCGAGGAGCTTCATGTGTAGTTGACGAAAGAGCATCGTCCGTCCATGAACACCGTTGAAACATGTGTGGTTGCTAGAAACACACGGCCCACAATGCACCAATGCTCTGCATCTCAGCATGGCAGGTTTTTGACTCGGGAAATCCACAGCTTAATTCCTAGAAGCATGATGCAACTATATGAAAAGAATGAACACACAAGTGAAACATGCATTTAACGGCAATCCGCAGTGGAAATGATTCGCCTGATTTCCCCCTGCCTCACCCTGAGCATTCTGGAAAGGTCCAAGGAGCGAATCAGCAAAGGGGTCTTCTTCCTTCTCCTCCCTGGGCCAAGTTGCCACTACTTCTTGGAAAACATAAAACATCCCAGAGCGAAGAACAAAAAGAAACTGCAACGAAACCCAAAAGACATGTATATGAATATGATTGTATATGTACATATGATATGTATGATAAGTTGCGTCTGTATTTACATTGGTATATACTCAGTCAGTATACATATCCACTGCTTGTACGTAGCTCGCCCGCACAGGTCCCCCCAGCCAAACGTCACCCCAATGCAGTGCCCTCGGTGCCCAAACTCGGTGAGTTGATTCCATCTTCGCAGGTCGGGTTCCAACCTCAGTAGTGCAAGCAAGCTGTGCCAGCCAAGAAAGTTACACTGTGCGAGCAACCAAGTCAGTTTGTCAATTTCGTAGCATGTGTGTGTTGCTTACAAACCCACCGGCCAAACCAATGGCACTCATTGATTCAATTAGGTCAACCAGGCCCGGCAGCACAGCACCATCATCAACGTCAGCAAGCAAAGCACACAATGATGCAACTTTACTGGGCGCCCAATCTGCCCAATACGAAACACACACTCGGAAAGCTCCACTACCCTATACGACCAGCGCCAACCAATTTATTAGTGGCATCCTGGTCGAGCACCTGCCAAGACAGAATGAAGAAAAGCCGATGGCCTGCACGGTTCAATCTTCCACAAGTCTCAAACAAGTGCCAGGATGTCAGGGGAACCAGAAGCCACAGTCTCTATCCACACATCCCACTCTCCAAACCGCGCTCTTTTTCTCGGTCAAGACTGGCAACCTGTGGTCTCACACCCACGCATCTGTGTCGCACAAATCACCTACTACATGGTCAAGACAGAGCATCAGTCATGCAGGGCAAAAACACCCGCCAGTTTTAGGGAGGCGGGCGGGACAAAAGCACAAGAAACCGCGGCGCCAACACGGGGCAACCAGTCCCATCACAGGAAAGGTTCCCAAAGGGCCAGGGGTCCCAGAACCCACAAAGAAGGGGGGGGGAAACAAAGCAGGTGACACTAACCCCACTCCAAACATCTTCAGACCTGGGGACCGTTGTCAACACAGGCACCTACAATAAAGCAACATCAACAAGTTGAGGTAAGCATATACCACAATACTCTGTGTTTCGATATTCAGCTCGTCGGTGTATCAACTGGTCCCAATGAACTATCCATTCTATCAGGTTGAAACGATACTTGTCGAACAGGGTCGGAGATTGTTGAACTCAAGATATGTCCAGTAAGATGTTTTTTGTCGTCTAACTTTTCACATAGATCCGCTAGGTTTGGTTGGGATAAAGGTTTTGTGAAGCAATTTCGTAAATTGGACATTCGCATCATGTTTTGTGGCACAGTAGATGGTGGGTGCTTTGAGAAGTCGCTCTTTTACAAATATATGTATATATATATAAATGTGGACCCTACCCAAACTCCATTGGCATCGTAGTTCATAAGGTCGGAAACAAGCAACACTTTTAAAAATTTTTCAACATGTATATACGCGCTATCCCAAAACTACACCAGCATAGACTCAGATAGCTAGGCAGAATCCCACGACCTGTTGACATGCGACTGGCTGGAACAAATGTACGCAGCCTGCACAGCCAGCTTACGGCAGCTCCACAGCGCGCACAATCAGCTGACACCAGCACCGGTGCGCTTTGCCAGCTGACAACACCGGCAGCGGTGCCAGCACCCGACCAGCGCCGCCGCCCGTCTTAAACGCGCGCTCAGCTAGCTCACAGCACCAGCACCCAGGACCACAACACCAGCACCAGCACCGACACCCTTTCGAAAGCGTGCGCAGCCAGCTCATTCTTATTTGCAGCAAGAACCCCATAGCTATCCCTTAAAATTTTTGGGGAATAACAACGTATGATCTTGCACGTATAAGTTTACGCTCAAGCGAAAACACCGTCAGAAGCGTCGCTTGGTCGCCCTTCACTGCTGCAAGCGGCGGTTTGTTACCCTTCACTGTCAGAAGCGGCGGTTTGTCACCCTTCACTGTCAGAAGCGGCGGTTGTAATCACTTCACTGTCAGAAGCGGGCACCAGCTCCGAGTATACCCAGCACCCAGCACCCGGCACCCTGTTTCCACCACGCGCACAGCCACCACCAGCACCAGCAACCTGTCTCCACCACGCGCACAGCCAGCTCACAGCACCAGCACCGGCGCCCAGCACCAGCACCAGCAACCTGTCACCACCACGTGCACAGCCAGCTCACAGCACCAGCGCCGGCACCCGGCGCCCAGCACCAGCACCGGCACCAGCAACCTGTTTCCACCGCGTGGACAGCCAGCTCACAGCACCCAGCACCAGCACCAGCGCCGCCACCCAGCACCAGCAACCTGTCTCGAAAGCGCGCGCGGCCAACTCATTGTTGTTTGAAGTAAGAACCCCATATAGCTTCGCTATCTGGGGAAAAAGCTACAGGATGCGCGAGCATGATATGTGCACCGCGTGATCAAATGTTCATGGCAGACAGGAGGATGTAGGAGGTCATTGTCGCGTTCCGTTTTTTGTGGTCAGACGTACGATAATGAGCGCACGGACGCATGGCCGCTGATGGCCGCTGAGTATGGGCATACATCCACACAAAGTTATTCTTTTCTCTGCGCCGTAATGCACCCAGAGATCAAAAAGACTAAATGTTAAAATACGCTAAAATCACATTGCCACGCACAAGGTGCCAAAACGTCAACCCTTATCGTCAGGCCTTGCGGCGCTCGGGGGTGAGAATGACATGTCGGAATTGGGTACCTCCAAGTTGCTGCAACATGCACTGGTCCTTTTGTTCCTGGAGCCGCCCCACGCAATCTCATAACCACTACCACGCAATAGAGACTGAACGTCGTACGTGTGCTTGAGGAGGCAGATGGCGCCACGCCATTAGTCTGCGGCCCTGGTTGACCGGGCAGCTCCGATCAGGCTTCGTCGTGGAAGGTGGTGCTTGATAGACGGAGAGCCGACTCCGAGCTCCTTCAGCGGCAAACCTAAAAAGATCACAGATCCAACAGGAAGGGGGCCAGCACAAACGTGAGCAGTAAGATCTCCTAAGAACATGCAACATGGCCTAGAGAGCATCCTTGACGGATAATGTTGTCTGGCTCCACAAAGACCATGTTCGCAAGTAGGTGAGTGACAGCACTTGAGTGAACTTGTAACAGGCTTGCACAGGTTTCAGCGTGCAAGTTGCCACATATGAGGCTGAGTCATGTCCAACACCTGGAGAAAAAATTGCAGAGACTCTCACACACACACACACACTTGTGGATATGCGTACTGACTTGACAGCGGTGCCACACGCCGGCCTAAGAAACCCAAATCCTGAAAGGTCCAGGAAAGCCCTAAAGAGCCTGGGGGTCTTCTAAAAGTAAATGTGGCCCAAAGCGCAAGCCGGAGTCGAAGCGACAGGTTGACGTCGTACGTGCACATCTGCAGAACTCATTAGCCCTTTACGGAAGGTAAAAATTGTTACTGCAGGTACGTCTGGCTGATCAGGCCAGATATCCGCATGTACTGTGGCCGCTTCGTTGGACCATCGCTCACAGCACATGGATGGTCCCCCTGCTTAAAACAAAACAAATTACAATTCAAAAGAATCCCTGTGACTACAAGGGGCACACACACACACACACGCCTCCCCGAGGGGAGGCGTAAAGCTAAGGTGAGGGCAAATGTGCACGCGCGCGCACAAGAGACAAAAGAGCGAAGACATGACAGGAGGACGAGACGGGACAAAGGTGCATGCAGTTGAGATGAAAGGGGAACCAAGTGCACAGGGACACCCGATGAAGCCCACCTCATTGTAAAGACCTGGGCGACCTGAAACCTGTGTTAAAATGTATGTGGAAGTGCACGCACTAAGGCCGGGACCAATGTGCGCGCAAACGAAGAAAAGGATGAGATGACCAGACATGAAGACAGGAGGACATGAAAGAAAAGAGGAAACAAAAGTGTGTGAAGGGGAAGGGATGAAAGGGGAACCAAATGGAGGAGACGAGAGCCGATGAAACCAAACCTCATCAGAAGCACCTAGGAGCCAGCCTCGTTTGAATGTAAACGCTGTGTGTGCACCTGAGAGTGGGACAGGTTCCAGCGAACCTCAAAAGTGCTTTGACCGCTGTGGTCACCTTGTGCCCTGCCAAAGTGGCTGGCTGTTTTGACAGCTGCGGTCACGCAAAGGCATGAGCCAACTTGGAATTCAATAATCCGACAAGTCTTGGCAAATAACTTTGGCATAAGCCTCCTGCTGTCCGCTCCGGACACCTACGTTCCCAAAGCCGGGGAACATGGACAGACACCCGATCGACGGGTCCACGGGAGGCACTCTACGGGCTCATCCCGGACTGGCACGAGGCCAGACACACTTATGGACCTGCGTGCTGACTTGACAGCGGTGCCACACGCCGGCCTAAGAAACCCAAATCCTGAAAGGTCCAGGAAAGCCCTAAAGAGCCTGGGGCCTGGGGGTCTTCTAAAAGTAAATGTGGCCCAAAGCGCAAGCCGGAGTCGAAGCGACAGGTTGACGTCGTACGTGCACATCTGCAGAACTCATTAGCCCTTTACGGAAGGTAAAAATTGTTACTGCAGGTACGTCTGGCTGATCAGGCCAGATATCCGCATGTACTGTGGCCGCTTCGTTGGACCATCGCTCACAGCACATGGATGGTCCCCCTGCTTAAAACAAAACAAATTACAATTCAAAAGAATCCCTGTGACTACAAGGGGCACACACACACAGGGTTCCATCGACTCTCCCAAGACTCATTGGCTTAGCCAGAGGACTAGCACGTAGCAGTTAGGGAGTAGCCAAGGCCAATACCCAAAAGCCTGGTGGTGGCTTCTTAACTGGCTAATGCACAACCGCAAAGCTAAAGAGTCTAGCCGCCTGGCCGCCTCAAGCCATCAAGATTCATGTCCATCGCACCAAGGCCACTGCAGGTCCAGCTCGTGGATATCTCCCCGTGCTTGAGCACGCTTGGCAGCCTCCCCGTTGAGAACCTGCGAGGGGGATAAAGCCGCCGAAACCGCAAAAAAGGAAGAAGTGCTTCCATCAGCAACACATGTCAAACACTCAAAGTTAGCACTCAAGCTTGGTGTATTCAGTCCTTGCGCCACATCAATGCTTGGGCATGCAAACGATGGATTTCTGCCTCACACGCATACAGGGATTGCAATCGCAAACTGCTCTGTCCTCAGGGACATCACCTAAAAGTTAACCAACCACATCAAACTTATGGTATATCACCCATGGTGTACAAACGTCATGGTGAACCATCGTCATATTCGGCCCAATCCCAGAAGAGCTGTGTGCAACGCCTGGTGCTTCTGTGCCTCCTCAGTGCCCATGGGAAGGGCATTCCACCGCCTCACAGCCGCCTCTGCCAGGCTGACTGCCTCATCAGCGGCTTCCTGAGCTCGTGGATTCTGGCGGATCATAGTGACGAGTGCGGAAGTGGAAAATCTGCAAGTCCACGGATGGCCCACAAGACTATCGATTGCGTGCACTGCAGTGATAACACCGCCCGTCTGGAGGCAGAGGCCGGACAGTTCTGTCCACACTCGCTGAGCTCCTGGCTGCCTCTTCCCTGGAGATCTCAACCAGTGGCTGACCTGCAGGACTTCCAATTTGAACTGATCCAGTCTTCACCAAATGAAGACTTCATCACTGATTGGTGCCTGCGACTCAATCGATCAATGATTGATTTCAAGGACTCGTCGGAGTAAGAATAAGACAAAACAAATAGAAACACAGGGAGGCCTGCTGTCTCCTGCCAGTTGAACACAGTGTGGGATAGTCGTCTTTGCTTGGGATAAACAACTTTGCACAAGGGCTCCGTCCTCGCCAGCTTTCACATCATCAGCCATGCCAAACACCTTCAGCTATTCCCCCGCAAGGGCAGCTCATGTTTCCATTTAAGCAACTCCCCTAGAGTCTGAGAGTGAACCTTGTCAGACTACTCATCATACTGGGTCCTGGACGTCTAAGAAGAGCACCGAACGAAATCGCCTTGACCAACAATGGGGACTCGTGAGCATCTAACCCTGTGCTCATTTGTGCTTGCCCAACCAAAGTTCTGGCATTGGGGGTTCTGTCATCACTTGGCACCCCTTCTGCTATTCGAGGTTGATCGGCTGAAGTCAACATTACCAGGTAGATTAAACATTCAGGCAACTCAGTCAAGAAACCCTAGCTAACTGCGACACAAAAACAATATAGGAATGCAAACGAACATCGCTTAAGCTTCACTAGCAACAAAGGCAAAGCTGGAGTTGTAGGTGGGGGGTGGGGAGTGAGACATGAAGACCTGTACACTGCATAATTAACTGTACATACACTGTACATTGTTTTTGTGCTAAGCTGCTAAGCCTATAAGACGGCAGAGTTGAATCCAAGGTGCTTTGGCAGCATTGCCAAATCTTCACTGGGCCTGGCATCAGCGCAGGCTGTGGGTTGTCCACAAACAGGCGTGGGGGGTTCGCCCAACTGGACGTTCTATCTGATTGAAGTTTGCACAGTGCTTCGTTGATTTGAGTATATGGGTTTGATCGCAAGCTAAAGGAAAAGACAAGTAATAGCCAGGAGCAACACTGCTGTACTGGCGTTGGTGCAGAAACGAAATGGTAGCCCCCTTTGCAAAACCTCTCCCGCCCATTGCGGGGCACACCATGCCAAGTGTAGAAGCCCTTCCAACCTGAGCTCAATCACATAGCGTTTGCCAGCAAATGTTTGAGCATTTGTTTGGATTGAACAGCAAAACCAAAGGAACATTTAATGAATCACACACGCATACTAATCAAACCCTTGCTTCTGCTCAAAAGGAACGGAGACAGGAGAAAGTCCATGTCCCACGTGACAGTCTATGAAATCGGATGGGATCTCAGTCCAAGAGCATCCAGATCTGAGAGCTCCGCCAGACAACTGTGATGAAGAAAGAGATGCAGGCATATGGAAACTGGTAGCGGCAAAACCAAATGAGCAAAATAAAAATATGATGCTGGTTTCTCGATTTATAAGTTACGGCACACTTTGTTGCATTGTGCCGCCTGTTGTAGCATCCCCTTTAATCCATCAGTTCTGACTTGATATATATATATATAAAAGATCAACGTTCCAAAGAACCACTCTGGACCTGAAGCTAACCTGGCCACCACCGCCACTGCCCTTATCTTACCATCCCAAACATGGGTGCAGTTTTCCTCGTAGTAGTTTATTGTTTCTAATAGTTTCTGGTTACTACTAGTAAGGCACTTGTTACTAGAAGCGATGCACTTGTTCCTAGTAGTTGATTGTTTCTAATAGTTTCTTGTTACTATATTATGAATTCTCATCAATAACTCGTGGCCTCGTGAGCAGGATCAAACTGGCCTCGCCTGAATGAGGACAAAAACGTCAACGGAGAGATAGGTTTGGCTCGATTGAAATCATTTGCAAATTGACATGAAACATGTACAAAATAGTTAATCAAGTGATCCGAGGGATCCTGGAGAATGCAAACAAGTTCATCTTGGGTTGCCAGGCCCTTCTTCCTGATGAGGAGCCCAGGCCTGGGTTCTTTGGAGCTTCGCTTGTCAGCTGGGCGACAGAAATGTCCAATGAATTGATTTCGGCACTATACTAGTCACTATACCACTGTACCACTATACCAGTCGCAAACCAAAAATTCAGAACTCCGACCAATCTTGACTGGAGATACATATAAATGTAGTTGAAATTATGACACCCTAGTTTCTTGCGCAAAATCCTTCAGCCTGTTGAGGAACGTATTTTTCGCCGACTTTGGCTCGGCTCGAAATTGATATGTTTATATACTATATACAGTATGTATATATATATGCATATGTGTGTGTATATATATATATGGGATGTGTATTCCAAGGCACGCAGCTGTTCTTTTTGCAGGATAGAAAGCCGCACTCGTAGAGAAGTGTACCAACTTGAGCGGTTTAAAGCCGTTTTTGTTCGAGCGTCAAAAGGTGGTTGGCGCAGCTCTGACCCACAGGTTATGAGCCCAAATCTCTGAGGTGTAAGCCCCAGGTAGAGGAGGTCGATCCCTGGGCAGCCCGACGCCATGAATGGCAACCAGCGGCGGCGGCAGCGGCAGCGCGCTTTGGAAGGCGAGCAAGCGGCTGAGCAGCTGGCGGCCGAGGAGCAGCACCAGGGGCCTTTGGGGAAGCCAAGGGAGTTGGCACCGGTTCGACTCTTCAGTCCTGAGCAACTGAGAGGGCTGGAGGAGATGAGGAGCCAAGCACCCCACCTGTACGGAGAGAACAGACGTGGTCAGTCGAAAAACCTGTTAAGACGCCACCCCAGAACCGGCTCGCCCTTCGTTCTTGGAGAAGGAAGAGGTCAAGGCTCCACAACTGAGCACTACCACTGGGACTCCATCACCGGGAGTACGACCAGGAGAACTGCAGGGGCAGATGCCGAAGATACAGGTCCCTTGCGAACCCCTTCTATCTTGGAGGAGCCCGTGGAACAAGAACAGCTGGCCTTGATGAATGGTGAAGAAGGGGAAGAGGAGCAAGGTGCTCGCCCAGATGACTGCGACCTTCAGGTAGCACTTCAACAGGGAGATCAACTTGTACCAGTAAATGGTAGTGGACCAACCTCCCATGTCACCACAACCTGGACCTGACCCGGGACATCAAGGGGTACAATATGGTATGGATCCTGCAGCAATCATGCAACAGCAGATGTTGACGCTGCTTGAGGCATTGAGGCAAGAGAACCGAGACTTGCGAGATGAACTTCGAGATCAGCGCCTTGGCTTTGAGACGCAGGTAAAGGCACTTCAGTCGTGGCAAGAACACTTGGCCCAAGGGCATGTGCCATTTTGAAGGGACTGCGCAGTCTGTCAACGAGCAGCAGCCAAGGACCGTCCTCACCGAGCTCAAGGAGTGGCAGCCCCATGTGTGTTGTCTCTGGACCTGCCTGGCCCGTTCGTGAAAGGGACAGACATTGATGGAGACTTCAAGAAGTACCTCCTAGTCGGCGCATACACCTGGCCGGTGATGAGTGAAGCGCCATGGGACGAGCTTGAGAAGATGGAAGTTCATCCGGATTGGCCCAGGATTGAGGAAGAAGAAGCTCTTCGAGATGTGGCTTACGAAGAACCTCAACAACCTCAACAACCAGAGGGCGACGACTTCTCCTAGGTCCTACAGGCCCACTACGGAGGAGGGAGAGGCTAAAGATCTTCGAGAGCCAGAGAGCGATGATGAGATGGCGGTCTTACTTCAAGAAGACGAACATGAAGAAGAAGATGAAGGTGATCCGGTGGAGGGTGACCGCAAGCAAGGGGAAGATCCAAGAGGATCAAGACCAAGTCCGAAGACGCTGGAGGAGCCAGAGGAGCTCCAGAAGGTGTACAAGATGGTCACAATGTCTATCTGTCTCCCTTGGCATCGAAGAGCGCTTCGGAGGTGGTAGCCGGCACTCAAGAACTGTATGCATGGGCAGTTGAGGAAGCACGGCTACCCAGTTGCCAGGGTACATATACTGACGCTGGCCGGGAGTTCGACAACGCGCCCTTCAAGAAATGGTGCCTGCAGAGAGGAATCTCCGGACGTTCAGCTGAGCACCAGAGCAACGGAAGAGCGGAGGCGATGATTGCCTCCATCAAGCAGCAAGTCCGGCGTCGCCTACATGGCAGCAACACGCCGACGAGGTGGTGGCCTGCAGCGGCGAGACATGTCACTGAGCTGGAGCAGAGACGGAGGGAGAACATCAAGGAGAAGCTCCCACGCTTTGGTCAGCTGATCACCGCAAGAAAGAGGGCATGGGAAAGGGGAGGACCGTTCGAAGTGACCTCAGAGCACGTGACCTACCTGACACTACACCTGAGGCATGCTGTTCTCACTGACAAAGAGAAGGTGAAGGTCGTGAGCTACCTGATCAAGGATGCCATTGAGCTGGAGGAAGTTCATGTTAAGGAGGACCCAATTTGCCTACGATGGAGGCTGCGGGAAAAAACTCCGTTGGCGTGCATCCAAGGGGCGGAGGAACTTGAAGTGGAGGACGATCGCAGGCAACCCTTCCAGGCAATCTACGAGGAGGGGAAGCACATGCTGTTTTCAGCACCTCGGGAATTGCAAGGGGCTTGACAGCTCTACGACTGGAGCAGGTGGCAGCAGCTGATCGCCTGCTCGAAGATGAAGTCCTGCAAAACAGGATCGTGCCCAACGACGAGGTCTACCGCGACAAAGAGTTGTGGATTGAGGCCATCATCAAGGAGATTCACGCCTGACACCTGCGGAAGTCGCCTACTACCAGCGAGAGCATGGAGATAAGGTTGAGATTGTTCCTGGCAAGGCAATCCATGCGGTGAAAGCCCCAGATGGACGACGAAAACGTCGGTTAGTGGTTTGTGGGAACTACTTGAAGGGAGCAGGCCGGGGCGCAATGGATCGGTCAGAAGCAGCGCAATTGTACGCTGGAGGAGCCGACACTACTTGTTTGAGGACCTCGTTGGCACTGGCAGCTTCGAGGGCGTGGCACGCAGCCAGCCTGGACATCAAAACAGCTTTTCTCAACGCTCCATTGCAGACCTTGCAGGAAAGCAGCAAGAAGAAGGCCATGGCTTTGGAGGATGCTCATGGGCGACATCAAGAAGAGACTTCACCTCAACTGCTGGAAGATTGGGTGGAGGAGCAGTGTGAGCAGGGCCCCGAGGGTGACGACGAAGCTTCCGCCCAAGTTGCTCATTCGCCTTGGATTGGCAAAGAAAGGTGAGATGTGGCTGGTTGAAAAGGCACTCTATATGGACTCCGGGAATGGTGGGACTGTAGAGACATCGAAATCAGCCAGATGTCTCTCACGGTGGGCCATGCGGAGTGTGAGTACCAGCAGAGCTTTCCAGAGGAGAACAGACTTGTGGCTTGTCCGCCGAAAGGATGCTGTGGAGGAGGCTCATGTCGAAGGCCTTGTACTGGTCTACGTGGACGATGTGATGCTCTTTGGTACCAAGGAGGTGGTGGAACAAGGGCTTCAGCACCTGGGTCGGCGAAGGAGAGCCGAACAGAGCATGGTGACTACCGCGCGAACCAGTGCTCCTACTTGCGGGAAGTGGTGCGGAGGCATGGCATGGAGGATCTATGCAGTGCTCAACTCATGAAGGACTCCCAAGAACCGGAGACAGAGCTAAACGCCCCAATGACCCAGGCGAAGGAAGCACAACAGCTAGCAGGAGAACTACTGTGGCTGGCGACCAAAACAAGACCAGACATCGCCTATGTGGTGAGCAGGATCTGTTCGGCTACAAGCAGGGCACCGTCGTGGGCAATCAAAACGGCACGCCAGCTGATTCGACACCTCAATGCCACTCAAGGGTTGGGGCTATGGTACAATGCTCCACTGATCCTGGAGTCAGTTAGCGACGCCTCATTCGCACCTGGCGGAGCTCACAGTCATGGATGCGTCATCACCACCTTGGGAGGAACTCCGGTAGCTTGGAAAAGCTGCAAGCAGCCATTTCCAGCTCCGTCAACAGCAGAAGCAGAGCTCATCGAGGTCATCGGGGCAATGGTGGTTGGCGACAGCATCGCTGGAGTTGCCAAGTACCTCAAGTGCGACAACACTGCGGCGGTGTCCATTGCAAGCTGTGCGACAGGAGCTTGGAGAACAAGACACCTGAAAGTGAGGGCAGCACACTTGAGGTGGAAACTTCAGGCAAGACTATGGGAGCTGAAATACCAGCCTGGACGCGAGCTGATCGCTGACGTGGGCACGAAGGCACTACCTATCGCAAAGATGAAGGACTTGCGAGAAAGAAAGTCCATGGGGTGGCAGCCGGACAGCGTAGATGAGGTGCACGAAGAGGCCAAGGGCATCACTGCACCAAGAGCCATGAAGTTGGTAGCTCGACAAGGATGGTGATGGTCCTGAGCGCCCTACAAACAGTGCATGGCGCTGTCCAAGACTCGAAGGGAACACCATTGGAGGAGAACGAGGAGGGCAACAAGATCTTGATGATCTTTGGCGTGGTCATGATGTTGGTGGGTATAGTCCTGGTCAAGTTGCTGGAAAAGGGCCGACGATGCATCAAGTCAAGGAGGTCGGAGCAGCTGAACATGAGTGAAGAAGGACGGAATGTCTCCACAAGTGCAACCCCAACGCCACAACCGACTGCTACGGTGATGGTGTCAAGGCTTTCAGTTGAGAGCCAAGCAAGCGGCGTGAGTGGGTCTACATCGACACCACCGAGGCCGTTGTCGAGTACCTCAAGGGAGGCCACAAGCCGTGATCCGAGAGGTGATGACGTGGAAGAGCCCCATGAAGAACCTCCTTCATCATTGACCATGGTGGCACAACCAAAGGTCTACAGCGGCCGAAGGAGGGCGATGAGACCATGCACAACCGGTGCAGGTGGCCTACTTTGCACCGAGTGGAAAGCGATTCCACAAGGTGAGAGATTGCCGAGGCCTTCGAAACGCCAACGAGATCGAGGGCATTGCGATCTGCCAGGCCTGCCAGCACCAGACGCAAGGCCAGAGGCCGTACAGCCAGACCCTGTGGCTGTATCAAGATGGAGTTGACCGGCTACACA